TCTCAACACAAACCCTCAAATCAAAGAGAGCCTGGAGTGAAGTATTTCAATCCCTAAAAGAAAATAATTTCCAACCTGGACTGGTGTATCCTGCAAAATTATCTTTCAAAATCAATGGGGAAATTAGATACTTTCACGACAAAGAACACCTGAGAAATTTCATGAACACCAAACCAACACTCCAAACAATTGTAAACAATGTCCTGGAAAAAGACAATGAAGGTCACAACTCCATGAGGCCCAACAGAGAGAAGCCACCAGGCAAGGTAAGACACTAAAGGGGAAGGGGGGAAAATAAGAAATAAAAGAGCCAACAACAGTAAAACATCATGACAAGGTTGAGTCAATATTTAGCAATTGTAACTATAAATATTAATGACCTCAATTCACCAATCAAAAGAAATAGACTGATAGAATGGATTAAGAAGCAAAATCCAGCAATATGCTGTATACAAGAAACACACCTAACTCAAAAGGAAATTCACAGACTGAAAGTAAAAGGATGGAAAACAGTTCTCCATGTTAACCAGAACCCAGAAAAAAAGCAGGGGTAGCAATCTTGTTTGCAGACAAAGTAGATTTCAAACTAAAACTAATTAAGAGAGACAAAGATGGTCACTACATCCTTGTGGCGGGAACAATCCAAGAGGAAGAGATGACAATCCCAAATACATATGCACCAAATACAAATGCCCCCAACTATACGAAACAAGTATTAATGGACATGAAAAACCAAATAAGCACTAATACAATTGTAGTGGGGGACCTCAACACCACTCTATCACAAATAGACATCATCCAGGAAAAAAAAATAACAAGGAAATTCTAGAACTGAACCAAGCTTTTGAACAAATGGACTTAATAGATGTTTACAGAGTTTCACCCCACAAAATCAGAATACACATTCTTTTCAGCTGCACATGGTTCATTCTCCAAAATAGATCACATGCTAGCTCATAGGACATATCTAAGTAAATGTAAAAGAATTGAAGTTATCTCCTGTATAATATCAGGCCATCGTGAAATAAAATTGGAGATCAATCACATAAGAAAATCCCACAAACACGTGTAAATTGAATAACACCCTCCGTAACAACCAATGGGTGACAGAGGAAATTAAAGAAGAAATTAGACAGTTCCTACAAGTAAATGATAATGCCAGTACAACATACAGGAATCTATGGGACACAATGAAAGCAGTTCTAGGAGGGAAATTCATAGCAGTGAATGCCCCTATTAGGAAAACAGAGAGAACACAGTTAAATAACCTAATGCAGAACCTCAAGCTCCTAGAAAAAGAAGAGGATAACAAATCCAAAGCTCTTACAAGACAGGAAATTATAAAGATCAGAGCAGAAATCAATGCAATGGAGACTAAGAGAACAATACAAAAAATTAATGAATCAAAGAGTTTATTTTTTGAAAGAATAAAGAAACTTGATAAACCTTTAGCCAACCTTATCAAAAAAAGGAAAGAAAAGGCTCGTATCCATGCCACTAAGAAGGAAAAAGGTGAAGTCATGACAGACTCAGTAAATATCCAGAAGATTATCAATAGCTACTTTCAGAACCTGTACTCTAATAAAATGGAAAAGACAGAAGAAATGGACAGATTCCTAGATACACACGAATTGCAAAAGTTAAATGAAGAAGATATAGAAATTCTAAATACCCCAATTACAATGAGTGAAATTGAAAATGTAATAAAAAATTTACCAACAAAGAAAAG